CGGGCCGGCCCGCGGGCCATGCCCACTTTGCCATCTCTAAGTGATGTAATCTAATTTTTATATATTATAAGTTTATTTTTATTTATAATAATTATTAAAAATAATAATCTGCCATGTTTAAAATACGAGTATCTTATTATATATCGTGTAACTTATGAATATATAAAAAGAAAAGATTAAGCAATTTTTATTTTTTAAATTTAACTAGAATATATTAATAATGTAAAAAAAAATTATATCATCATTAAATTATAACTATCATATAATTAAGAATTATTAAGTGTGTGTTCAGTTTTACATTCAGAACTCTTAACTCGCGTACAAAACATGAAAACAAGAAGTTAATATTACTTGTTTCTGCGTCAAATTCATAAAAACGTGAATCAATCATGTCAATCCAAACATACACAAACATACACTAAAAGTCACATCTTAGTTTAGTCGATTAGGATCAACCTAAACATGAAGCTAACAAAGCCTTTATTTTATGTTCTTTCAAAAGTATTATTTTGTATTGAAAGGAATTATCTCTAAAGGTATTCAACCATAATTATTTTTTTCAAAATCGATCTCTAAAATATATATATATATAAGATAAATTTGAGATAAGGTTTTTGTGAGTAGAATGAGATGAAAATGGATCTTAGTTGGGGGAAGAACCCTCTTAGGATAAAAACTGCGATCTTTCTCCTTCCTTGTTACTCTTATGTTATTTTATTTTATTTTTACTATGAATTTTTTATTATTTTTATATTGTGAAATTAGGATTTTTTATATTTAAAAAAATTAACATAAGATATTGTAGTATCTAATTTTTTAGGATTTAAGGTTTATGCCTTCATTAGCTTATTTTAAAAAAAAATATTATTAGCAGAGAAAAAATTATCATATAATATATAACTAAAATAATATATATATATATATATATATATTTTATCTAGTGCTATTATTCGTTTTAAAAAATAACCTTTTTTAAGATTTGTTTAGGCCTAATATTGTGTTGAATTGGACTTATAGTTGATCGATAATGTTTAAATTTTTACAATATGACAATAATTTAGAATTGAACTCAAATTTTTTCAAGAAAACTATTTATAATATCCAAAACATAAAAATATATAATATATATTTTAAATAATTAAAAATATTTCTCTTTTAAATATTACCTGTGGGAAAAACTTGAACACTTGATGATGAGTGACTATTGTAAAACCAATAATTAGAGTGTAGACAAGAAAAAGTGACGTTCTTATCCACCCTGCAGTCTTGTGCCCCACATGTGGTGGGACTGAAAGATGTTGTTGAGAGGCTTTATCCAAGCAATACATTATAGGAACAGGCATGTACAAAATCAAATTCACATTCAACATGTAATCATCATCGATCATATTGTGTACCAGTAAATGGAGCCAAAAATAACAAAACGCAACGTTAAAAATGGTACTAATATACTCTATATTAAACTTCTATAACATTTTCATTGTTCAAGATTGTAAAAGTAGAGGCAGTTTATATGAGTAGGTTTATGCTTAATTATTCCCTATTTTCCAAGAAGAAAATGTCTTGATCAAGAGGGTTAAATCCATCCCATGATAGAATTGAATCCATACTATCAACCCATTGCTGTAAGGAGTTTTCTTGTATGTAAGAGGATTCATCCACAGAAAGGTGGCTTGTGTCATCCAAAGTGACAGAAGAACTACATAGTGAATTAGTACTAGTATTGGTAATTTCTTGGCTCATCCATGATCCCAAGTCCAACTGTGAAAATATCATTTCAAAATTATTTAAAAGTTCAGCAGTATCATCCCATGTCATCACATTGTTTTCTTCTCTTTTCCCTTCTATTTTTGTCATCATTTCTTTGTCCAACGATTTCATCTCCACATTTTCTTCAGACCCTCCTGAAATATAAGGTTGTTGTGAGTTGGTTTTATTTGTGTCCTCATTATGTTCCTTTTGCTCAATTGGCTTGTGAGTCACAGGGTCTAGACCAAGGAGTTTTAGTCTTTTCTTGATTCTTGTGTTCCAATGGTTCTTGATTTCATTATCTGTCCTCCCAGGAAAATGTGAAGCGATCTTAGACCATCTGAAAATGTGTTTCACAGTATTAGAACCTAGAAAACATATCTACATTAAATTGATTTAGAAATACTAATCTTAGGATCGTATTTTTCTGGCTTAGTGACAATTTAGAAACACATGTTGTACCTGTTACCAAGCCGTGAATGTAGTTGTATAATTTGATCCTCTTCCATTTCTGTGAAGCCACCTCTCTTAAGGTCTGGCCTCAGATAATTGATCCATCTGAGTCTGCAGCTCTTTCCACATCTTAGAAGACCTTCAACATGCAAAATGCACCAAATTTAGATATTTACCATACCCCTTTAATTATTAATCAAATACCAGAATTCAATTATAGACTTAAGCATGGAATGACGAACAAAAGTACTATTTTATTATTATAGACACTGACCGGGTGAGAAGGATCCCTTATTAAATAAAAAAAATGACATACCGTACCCCTTCATTGCAAACTGCAAAGTAATCAACCTTAGAGCATGTGCATGAACCCAATAACTTATAATAAATTAACCAATTACCTGCTAGTTTGGGAACTGTTCTCCAGCAATGGATGCCATTGTGGAGAATGAAGTTCATTAGCTTGTGATCTTCCTCAATAGTCCATGGACCTCTCTTCAATCCAATCTTATCACAACAAGGTTGTCGTACCATTTTGAAAGCTTTTTTTACTCAGAGAAATCAAGATAAATATATCCCTTGATAGTTGTTATAAACAAGTGTGGAACATTAGAAGCATGAGACTTAAAAAGGAGCTTAAGATTGAAGCAAAGATGCTGCCAGTTCATTCAAACATTTAAATAAAAGCAGGATGTCCTAAGAGGGGGGAGATAAATGATTGGTCGGAAAGCACTTTGAGTTGAAAGCTAAAAAAAGCATGGAAGGGGTTGTGAATTGTGATTATAAAATGGAGGTCACCACTCACCACCTTTGTTGAGACAAATAGAAAGAGTCCACTTAAACAACAAAAAGCCTCTACAGAATCAAAATGTGAGAAAAGAACACCCGTTGACAAATTTTATTAATTTTTTTTGTACGAAAATCTTCTCTTATTTGTACTGGTTCATGAAAGTTGTAATCCCCCATAAAAATATTGAGTTTGATTGGGATCCCATGGACCCTCAAAAGCTGGCCAGTTTTGTCCTTGTAGGCAAACTCTCATTTCATCTTTCACTACATAGATTCCTCCCCCCATTATGCCCAAATGCCCCGAAATTCCACCCGTGGATTCATTTGACAACTACTTGAATTTAGTTAGTGGTTAATACCATACAGCAAAACTATATATAATAATTTAACATTTTTATGGAAAAGGACATTAGTATAAGTTGCTACCTGAATAGTTGCTACCTGAATATGTAAGTGTTCCGGCAAGGTGGACGATGATCTTTGTTTTCTAACTGTAGCAAGTGGGACACTTACAAAGAAATTCTGATCTGCAAAGTCACCCCAACGCAAGTTAATTAGAAGAGTTTAGGTTATAAAATATGAAATGAGAATCATGAGATAGACGACTGATACCTTGTGTACTCTTTGTATAGAGTGATTCTTATCATTAGACAAAATGATTCAGTAACATATAATTGATTGTTCGGTTACCTTAATTATGTAGAGATACTATTTGATTTGTTATATTCTCAATATCTTAGAAAATAATTAGTGAGACATAATTGTCTAATTAATCGATCTTTATATATTAAATAATTTTTTTTATATTATTTTTAGAGATTTTTTTTTAATGAGAGGTTTTTAGATTTTTTTTATCAATGAGAGATCCTACTTCTCCTCTTTTGTTTTCTCATTTCTTCTTTAAGCTTTTCTCCTTCTTGTCTAAGAATTCTCAATTCCTCTTCCAAGAAAGCAAGTTGGCCCTTTCTTTCAATTTTCTCCTTCTCTTTTTGAATAGCCTCTTTCTTTCTTTATAGTTTAAGTGATTTTAGCTCTTTAGTTAAGTAAGAAAGGCTTTTTGGAGAGCTATCACTTCCACTATAGTCAGAGTTTTGAGACATTTTTAAACAAAAAGTATTTTCACACAAAAATAGTTTTTGAAGAAAATAATATTTTTGAAGTGTTAGACTTGGCACTTAGAGGTCTAAGAGTACAAATTGAACTATGGAAGGAGGTGAGCTACAAAGAGCCACTTAATAACCAAGCCTCTTCAAGTAAAAATCTCTAAACCCCCTTGTACTTTGCCTTGCACAAAATGTTTTCACAAAGTTTTTTTTCAATAAGAAAAATAACAAGCAAGTGCCTAATGTGTACAATTAAGCAATGCAATCAAGACTTGAAAACATAAATTGCATGAAAACATCAATTGCATGAAAACATAAATTGCTTGAAAACTTACATTTCTTAAAACATAAATTGCATGAAAACTTAAAGACAAGAAAACATAAACTAGGCGTATAAAGCTATATAAACCTAGGTGAGAGCTTGGAAAGTACCGGTGCTAAAACTAAGACTATAACACACTAAAGATTTAATCCTAAAAACTATAACATCTTGCCTAAAATACCCTAAGTGGTAACCTAGGCATTTCCTAGAAAATAAGGAAAATACAACTAAAAAATTTCCTAAGCAATTTTGGATTATATTATTTGTTGGATAGTTATAAAAAGGATTTGTCACAAGGAACCTTGAAGGTTCATATGTTGTATCCAACAAATAATATATTCCAAGAATTGGGTGCTTTATTAAAACAACTAAGGTAGGAAGAGTCCTACACAAAGGAGGGCTATCTACCTTGGGCACCACAAAAGAAGTAGCACAAGATGTAGGACTAAGTGAAGTCCACTTCTTCTTCACTAAATCTTAAAGTAGAGATTCTTTTTCTTTAAAAATAATAGACTTATGAATCTCTTCTTCAAGACTAGTGGTAGCATGAGGGAAAGAGTTAAGGTCTTTATGAATAAAGAGAATATTTTTCATAGGATTTTTAGTGATAAAACAATTCTCTTTAGTCATAACTCCCTTAGAGGATACATCTTCCTCTTTACTCTTCCCTAAAAGTGATTTTTTTTTTCTTTTTCTTCTTTTCTTTTGATTTTCATTTGTGCTTGATCCTCAGCCACTTGTTGAGGTTAGAAAGGATAAAGCACAAATTTCTTTTCCTTATAAGTGAAGGTGATTTCATTAGTAAGACCATTGTGTATAGTTTTCTTTTCAAATTGCCATGATCTTCCTAACAAAATATGACAAGCTTCTATTGGTACTATATCACATAAAACTTGATCCTCATACTTCCCAATGGAAAACTTAACCTTCACTTGTTGGTTAACTACTATGTCTCCATCCTTATTGAGCCATTGTAAGTGATAAGGTTGAGGATGTGGCATAGTAATTAAACTCAACTTGTTAACCAACCTAGTGCTACAACAATTGCACCATGAACCACTATCAACAATGAGAGATCAACAATGAGAGAACAAGCATTATTTAAAACATTACATCTTGTATGAAAGATGTTCTCTCTTTGTGATAGGGTACCACTAGGTTGACTATTAAGGATTCTCCTAAGCATTAGGAGTTCTCCTTTATAAGGATAAACTGACTCCACTTTGGACACTTGAAGCTTTGTTTCATCCTTACTCTCACTTGAAGAAGAGGTAATAGTCTCTTCTTGACTACTATAAGTGTCATGCCCCCTTAAGATCATGAATTTCTTTGTAGGGCATTAAGAAGCAATGTGGCCTCTCCTTAGACACTTGAAACATTTTATATCACTAGTCTTTGTGCTAGTGTGTGGAGTGTGGGTACCTTTACCCTTCTCTTTGTTCTTATCCTTATTCTTAGCTAATTCCTTGGAAGGTTCTAAAATATTTTTCTTTTCAAAATATTTTTCCTCCTCCATGTAGTCTTTCTTAAGAGATCTAGAGTGGGGGCTTTCTCTTTTAGAAGAAGATTTTCTTAACATTTGTTGTTCTACCCTTACACAAAGTTGGACTAAGTCATTTAAGTCCTTGTAAGGTAGTAGCTCCACCTGGTCTCTAATCTCTAAGTCAATAACACTTAGGAATCTAGCTACAGTGGTGGCCTCCTCCTCTCTAATACATGTCATCATCATGTATAGCTCCATTTGTTGCCTATAATGTTCAACAGTCATATCTTTTTGTTGGAGCCTTTGGAGCTTGTTCATAAGCTCACTACCATAATAAGAGGGAATGTGTCTCCTCCTCAATGTACTCCTAAGATCATTCCAATATTGGATAGGAGGATCATTGTGGAGGCGCATCTCTCTTTCCAAAGAAGTCCACCAATACAAGTGGCACTTTTCTCTCTTCACTCACCTTGTGGCAAGCAAAGATTTGCTCTACCTTCATCTCCCAATCAAGGTAGGCTTCCACATCATCCTTCCCAAAAAATTGAGGGAGATGCACCTTGGATTCCCTAGGTTTAATAGTTCTTCTAGGGGGAGGTTGATAATGGTCACCTACATTAAGGCTTTCATTGGGAGAAGAATACTGTGAATGAGAGATCCTACTTCTCCTCTTTTGTTTTCTCATTTCTTCTTTAAGCTTTTCTCCTTCTTGTCTAAGAATTCTCAATTCCTCTTCCAAGAAAGCAAGTTGGCCCTTTCTTTCAATTTTCTCCTTCTCTTTTTGAATAGCCTCTTTCTTTCTTTATAGTTCCCCCGCCCCGCCCCGCCCCGTTTTCATCTTGGACATCTACAAATGAACACGTTTCCATCTTGATACACTATTCGATACATCGATTTAAGATATCTTTTTTAAAAAGAATAAATCTTGTGATAAAAACAGAAACAAAGAAGGGAGAATTTGATATTTTTTTTAAAAAAATAAAACTCAAGACAAATAGAAACAAAAAAGGGAGAATTTGATTTTCTTTTTTTACAAAAAGAAAAGAAACAATCTCGATAAAAATATAAATAGAGAAGGAAAGATTTGAGATTTTTTTTAAAAAGAAAAAAAATCTTGATGAAAACAAAAAATAATGAAGAGAATCATTCTCGTCTCTCCTTACTTAACCTTCACGTAATAGAAAAAATATATTAATAAAAATGGAAACAATGCAAGGAAGATTCAAGATTAAAAAAAAAGAAATTTTTGTTGTGAAATATGATGTCTTATAATAATTTATTTTTGAGACTTAGTAAGTTATTGTCATATTAATATATAATTTTTTTTTGTCATGTTATTTGTATTATATATATATTATATATTATATATATGTCATGTTCATATGTCTTATATTTTTTGATTTTGTCATATCCTGTGTCTATATCGTGTCCCTATGTCGTATTTGAGTCCATGCTACGTAGTATATAATAAATATTTAGTTTGTGCATATATTTCACATATTAAAATACTAGTAAGAGTTTTTAGAGTTTTACCTGATGTTTGCTTTACAGGCTTGACTTAAAGGCCTATCATGGGCAAGGCCGACCCAACCCAGAAGCTACTAAAACACTCCCTTTAGGCCCAAAATAAAAACTCATATAGGCCTCCTAGAAAATACTTATTACTAATATTTATAAAAATAAAAAATAAATAGCATTACATTATTAATAGAAATCGAATAATTTTTCTTAAAAAAGTCTCATTTTATTACAATTTTCTCTCTCCTCATAAATATTAATTATATTTTAAATAAATAATAATTTTGTAATGTTATGAATAATAATTAGTGACTTAATTAGTGGATGCCAATATTCATTATCAATCATTACTATTTATATTTTTGTTATGTATTATTTCCTTTATTATGTGATTATTCCGTTATCACATGTACTTATAAATAGGTTAGTCCTCTCCCAAAGATAATACACTAGCTAGTCACATTCTTTTCTCCATCACATTTTGTTTTATTTGTTCTCTCTATTTTTCTTTCTTTTATAACACATTATCAGCACGATAGTCTTTCCGTTAATGGTGTTGCAACTGTAAGACAAAGTTATGAAGAATTTTCATGAAGAAAATCATATTTTTCAAAATAAATATTTCAAGGTTAGTTATTCATCTTCCACAATAAGAATTTTATCAAATATTTGTATTGTTTGCATTGTTATGTATTAAAGTAGTCTTGAAGACACTGTAGTAGTCTTGAAGACACTATAGTAGTCTTGAAGACTATTAAATAAAAAAAAATTATACATTCTTGAAATGTGTCTAGAAGATGTTATCAAAAGAGAATATTCAATCTCTTTTAATTTATTATTATTTTTTCTCATCAGAAGTGAGAAATATCAATATTTCATTGACGTAATATATTTTTTCATTATTATGCAATCATGTATTTCATATTATGAATTTGATAGAATATTTGTATTTTTATGATTGTGAAATTTATTTAAATACAATTGATTTTAAAGACAAAATAAAAATAAATAAAAATATTTTTATAATGGTCTAGAAGACATTGTCAAATAAAGACATTTTAATATATTTTTTTCTCACCATAAGTGAATAAATAATATGAAAAGTGAAAAATAAAATAAATTTCACCAGAAGTGAATTTTTTTATTTATATAAATTTATTACATTGTGTTTGATCCTTTGTTATAAATGAGGTCACCACCGGAAGTGAAATAATTTTGTTAATATTATAATGTTGAATGATATTTGAGACACTTATAA